TCTTAAAAGGGTGGGGGAGACTCATAATGTCGGTTCTGCCTTCGCTGATGTTTAGATAGCTTTTATTAACACCGCCCCATCCTCATCCTCCCACTGCTGAATGCAGTTTCGATGATCAAAAATGTTTGACCCGTGCTTGGACATTGGCTTCAGGCTATCTTGTTTGGGACGCTCGACCAGGTGTGTGTTCAAGACTTAATTCGCTGTCAACGAGCTCTCACCTCTCTCGGATCCTAAAGATCTATCCATAGGGGACTTGGAATCGTGTTTCAAACCTTTGGCCGATAGTCTGGCGTGCAACGAATGTAAAGAAGGTTTGCAGGCTCGTGTTAAAGATCTTGTCGTGAATTGGTCACAAGTGAAGGTATGCGATAACTGACTAAAATTCAGTAACTCGGGAAGATTGATCTATCGTCAGAACACTATCTGATCCTGAATTCCTTTGTGGTTCAACTATCCGCTCAGACGCAGTTTCCAAGGATATAAAATCAGAAAAGATGATCTTTCGGCGATGACGGGAGCCAGTCGTAGTGTTGTATTTTTTCTTGTATAACAAAGCTCTGTATTTCTATGTACAATAGGTATGCGCTATGGCACTGTATATATCATGTTCATGTCAACTCCATAACCGTGCATCTGTACTAGCGATCCTTCAACTACTTCTCAAATCAACCTTTGGTTCATTCTGAGAGGACTAAGAGGAAGACCAGTATGGCCTGTACTCGTCTCGATTCATCCCGAGGACGTTGGGCGCTCATTTCGGCGAACAATTCAGCACGGTAAACAAAAGCCATTCGTGAACAAATTACGTACTTAGAAGAATCACAGAAGCGTTCGTAGAACATCCGAGGAGAATCCATCATTGTGAGCTGAAGCAATTGCCACTAGAACGGATACATAAATTCGTCATCACAGAAAAGGCTCTTTTGGAAAATAGACCACAGCCGATGGGCTGAAGGAACTAACAACGACGCCATTTCGATGAATTTGCCGCAGGAAGGTTAACCGATGTTAGGAGGAGGGAGTTTCGGAGGAAAGTCGAACATACCAATATTGCTAGAAATATAACTCGAACTCGAATCATCACTAGCCAAGAAGACACAACACGTCGCTACTTTAAGTAATTGACCAGCTCTACTCATCAGGATGTCATTGCTATCGGTGACAAAGCCCTCACTCCTGGACTTGGAAAAGGTCGACGGAATGAGCGGGCTCCGAATAGGATCGGGACAAATGGCTGCGTATAGTCGTAATCAGTACAAAGGTCAGAATAATATGCATCTTACTAACACTGACGCGAATTCCCTTCTCTCCAACAATTCTGTTAAGTTGGGCAAAGTGGAAAGATATTTGGTGAACATTTCGGCGGGATATCCGAGTGAATGTGAAGACGACATGGTAAATTGTGATTCACTAAAAAAAACCTGCTCCAAGAACGGCTTTTCCCAATGTACATGATATCAAAATCCACGTCGAAAATGAGATCGGCAGCGAATTAGTGCTCATCCGGTGACGAGATAGCCATATAAAGCTATGATGTACCTCAAAGGATCTGAGTCGGATGTAATAGATAACGTTATTTCACCTTCAGCGACCAGTCATTTCTGTCATTGGAAAAATGAGGGCAGGGCCTGGACCTATTGAGAAGGATATATCAAATGAGACTATCAAAGCATGAATCGATGAGTCTGTGAAGTGGGCAGGTACGCGTATGACTCCACGAATCCAGTATTCATTACAGCAAGACTCAATAGTACCACAGGCTGGTGCAATATCTCGAGCGTGACACTCCTTGATCTCACCGCTCTGGGTTGTCCAAAACGGAGGCAGAGGCAAAGAGGAAGTGAAAAGATGGAAGGCAGAGATTGATCGGCTGGCCTGAAGTCTGAAGCGCAGGACAACACCCGACTCTCACACTACCAGACCCGGATCCGGATTACCAGAATTTAATTGCAGCAAGACTCATTGGTGTAATTTGCGGCGACTAGGTTCACTTCGGGCTACATCCCCCATGTTGATTATGCATGATTGAAAGCTGTGATTCTGCATAATGAAGGCGAGGAGAGAAGGTTGGCGAAGAGTCGAATGACGATGATGTGAACGTTCAGCGTTCCAGGGGGTAATGAGAGGTTTGTATCTTGTACAAGAAATTCAGTATTTTGTCTTGAACACAGTGGAACGGACGAGTTTAAGGCCCTGAGTCTCCAGCAATTGTCACGAAAACCCTTAAGCGGTTTCAGAGGATTTTCACGTCCATGAATGGGTTTGCGATGAACCAGCTCCCCAAATTGCCAGCGTCTGACCTGGACATACCGTTAATGGTTTAACCTGGACTCGACTTGGGATCTCCCTCGCAAGAGCTGTGACCTCCATGAAACCTCCCGGACTCTTCCTTCACTTTGAAATTCCACCCATACGCTGGGATGACAATTGGCCATGTCCAAGTCTAGATAAAAACACGCCTGAAGCTCACGCTCACTCACTATGGATCCTTGAGATGTCGGGCAGAGATAACAAGGGGATTTGGGTACAGTACCCTTTCGCCCTTCTTCAGAGGCTAACTCGACGCTTGTCTGCAGCACAAGGCCACTACGAAGAGGATAGGAAGGGGGTTCACCGTTGAGATGATAGAGAATGGTGGAAATGAAAAAGGTACGTACTTACATTAGCACGAATCGCGACGTTCTTTGTTGGCAAAGAAGTGTGCTCATTCGTTAGGTTGTTCCAGGTTATTCGTAAGGTTGTTTGGGCGCTAAATCCAAAAGTGCCGGGCGGCTCTAGTTCAAGAGTAATTTCGTGGATCGTTACTAGCTAAGGCTTCCGATTTTGTCGTCACAGATCACTCAGCAGCTCGTCCAGTGCCACCTAATCGTGCTCTAACACGAACTACTCAACCTGTAAGTTTTACTGAAATCTGAAAGACAAGAATGGAATACCTGCATGCGTTGACTCTTGGCCTGCACTGCAAGACTTTTCATTCAATGGAGTATCCATCTCCGTAAAGCCAGCCTGAGCATTCATAGGTAAACCTTTGAATGCTTTTAGAAAAAAGGGCGAAAACGGAATGAAAAAAAAAATACAAAAATAGTCATCTTGTCTAGTGATGACGACTCGGACAGTTAACCTTTGTACCATCAAGGAAAGCGATACAGTCTCGCAGTCAAGTCCCCGATCTGCCCGAGAGTATGTCATATTTGGAGAGCATACGCGTCAGTCCTATCAATTTTTTTGTGGCACAGGCCATTACGCTTCGCTTATTTTTTTCAATACCCATGTCGCTTGACGATCGGTACGATGATGCCAGTATATACATCACTGGAGTTCTTTCTCTCTTTGTTTTACGCCTTCTGTGCGTCATGGATTAGGTCCAAAGACATATATAAACACAGAAGAAAAAGACGTCTACTACGCAATACAAAAGCACTCTTCTAACACTCATACTACTCACTCGTATTCAAGCTACCACTCTTGAAAGAAAGCCTTCACCATGACGAAACAAACTAGTGCCGACAACACCAACGCCACTTACGAAGTACGTATATCTAAAGGACTGCATTTTCTTTGTTCACTACTGACTCAATATTTAGGCTGGAGACCATGTTCAGTACCAAGCTGTCGGTGGCAATGTCCCCAACTCTACTACTCAAGGAGAGGTTACTGAGGTCATCACTGGCAAGGAACCTGCTGGTGAGACTGGCATTCAAGTCAATGTACTGTTGCATTTTGAGCACTTCGTAAGGGGTGGGACAGTGGGACAAATCATATGAAATTTATTTTTTGTAAGTGCCTGTTGGACACTGGGACATGAAGGAATTTACGAAATTCAACTACTATAAAAGGTTAAGTGCCCACAGGTGCCTGGGAAAATTTTTGTAAGAGCTTGATTGGACACTGGACAGGGCGGGACATTTTGTTTTGTAAGATGCCCTTCGGACACAGGACATACGAAGTGCTTAAAATGGGACAGTATGTTCCAATTTTGCATTTTTTTTTCTGCTTTTTTTATGGTTCTGATTCAATTATTTACTAGGCCTCTTCTGACAATCCTCATTATGTTATCTGCAACGATAAGGTTTAGTTCTCATTCTTTGGCTGAGTGGCTCTACCGATAGAATGCTGACTCTGAATACTCTTGATAGACCGGGAAAGAGACCGCTTACAAGGAGAAGAATATCGAAGGAACGACCGAGTAGATGTCTAATTGAACCTAAGCAAAGAATATATTCATATTGTATACATAGTTTGTAATTGCAGCGTTTCAGAAAATTGACATGTCTTTCGTGCTAGCTACTTTGAAGTTATTAAACACAGCAGCTGCTATATGCGCAGAGAGAATCCTGCATCAAAGAGCAGATCCTAAGGCTAAGGAGCTTGGCGGACGTGCCGGACGGCGGTCAATTTTCAAGTCCTAAATAAGGAAAATATTCGAACACGGCCGCTTCGAAGGCCAAAAGATAGATCTCTGATGCACCGAGAGGATCTCTCTGTCCCATTCCCAAAGTCCGGATGCGGAGTCAAATTTGGTTGAGTGGTACTTGGTACATGCCTAAAAATAACAATTTACATCTCGTAATACCACTATTTCACTACATTTTCGTAGACTTATCAAGACCCGCCATTTGGGTATTGCTAGATAGGGTGCGAGATAAGCATGAACTGCACAGACCTGCGCTCTAGCTTCTAATCGGGTTTTATTCTGTGAAAATTGTTCGAGCGATTTTCGCGCACCGGCTTTCGCCGTCGGAGATGGAGCGGGCCGAACGCTGCCAGGGAATCAAGTCGTGTATCAACTTGTATTTTCCCCCTTGCGGTCTGCGAACGGAACTGCGATGGAAATTCGATTTAGTGACAGACAGCCAATTCGCGGACATCGTATTGATAAATTATGTAACGGCTTCAGGTGTGCTGGACGCCCGGTCAATACCATTCCCTAAAGCTCGTTAATTTCTCATATGATAGAAAGAAAAAAAAAAAAGAGGAAGGGGACCATGTCCAGCCTCTACTGACGACGGGACTTGAACCCGCAACCTTAGCTATGACCATTTTATCAATAGCTATGCTATTGTCAAGGAGGTCACTGGAAAGCTACGCAGTTACCCTTCTGCCACGCCAGTATTCCAAAAACTTGAGATACCGTTAATTAGATCCTACCCTAGCATAGATCAGCAGGCAATAGGAAAGAGAAACGCTACAGTTTTAGTGGGAGGAGGAATAAATGATTGAAAAGCTGATAAAAAAATAGGGCATGCGGACGCGAATGAGAATTTACTTCCTGACTATCACGGTTCAGCGCTCAGCGCTCAGCGTGCAACCTATCGTCGTCCACTTCTCGGCGTACCTTGTCCTACTCCTCCAATGATGTGGAAGAACCCCAGAGAACTCGACGCAGATTTGAGCTTTTATCCGGATTCGACCGTCCCTTTGTGTTCCCCTCTTCCAAGCAACAAGCCCAATCGTCTGCCTCTGCTGGCAGTTCTTTGAAGTCCATGCCGCCTTTAGAAATTTTTCCGAGACAGCAGAAGGAGGACATCGGAGAGTCGAAATTGGGAACCAGGTGCGTGCAGGCCTGCTTCTGCAGTCAAAGCTTTTGGAACTGAGTGCCAACTCCTTGACCAGTTCTTACCTCTGCGACACCTCTACCGCCACCTAGACACTGTCAACACTCTCTGGCTCGTAGACACTGTCAATACTCCCTGGCTCGTGGACACTGTCAACACTCCCTGGCTCGTAGACACTGTCAACACTCTCTGGCTCGTCGGATCTCGTTCTGCCAGCGCTCTCCTCGGCACGAACTCGTAGAACTTATGCCCTTCGCTCTTCGCAGCCCATAATACCACCCAGCTCCTCATACCATTCTCTTTTACAGACTCGGGGCTTTCAGGGCTCACAGACGCAAAAGATTTTCTGAACCTCACGAACGTAGTGGCCAATCTTTTTTTTAAAAAAAATTCAAAAAAAAAAACATGATTTCCGCGTATAATCCTTGCTTTGAAAGTCTGTTCATTCAGTATACAAAGAAAAAGTCTCGACCAACATTTAGATCCAACTCGGGTCCTCACTCGCCGCTACAGCGGATATCGGTGCAACCATACAGGCTGCAAGCAGGACCACGTACATTCAAAACTCGTCCAGACGTACAGATCTCCGGCGGTAAGGGGGCTCCGGTTTGAGGCAAAAGCACAGCGACCGGACCCTACTAGAAAAGCTTAGCTGAGGTTTCAAGAATTTTCGAGACCCATTTCTACCGAAAAAAAAAATAATTCAAGCTCAACCAAAAATAGCAGAAAAAATTCCTGGATGCGCTTCTAGCATGATAAGTACAACTCTTTAACATTCCTTGTTCAGCCCTTTGAGCCTAAAGTACCTAGGGACCATCTGTAATTTGTCAACTCAGTCAGTGGACAGATACCTCATCCCCAAGCCTATCATTCCCGGTAACACCAGCACGAAGATTCCCTTGGTTCTCTTGGTCTGCCGAGTCTTCTCATCGTGGTCAGGTTGCCTACGTCGGTTGGATGTTGGTGTATCTATAATGGTGCATCAACCTTAGGCTCAACGGCGTAACAAAACTGATGTCAAAAATTCATCAGACTGACATAGACGTGAGAGAATTCTGACCCACAGCCTTCCAATGTGGAAAACCCGCCCGCACAAAGTTTATGTAAGCTCTCACGCTGATAACGATAGGCGCTCGGGAGGTTTGGTTAGGTTAGTTAGGGTTTTTGCACGCCGCAGGCGTGCCCGGCTAGCTGGTTAGGGTTTGGTTAGGGTTGGTTAGCGGTTAGGACGGGGGTTTGGGGGCGGAGCCCCTATGGTTAGGGTTCGGGGTTGAGGATATCGAAAAAAAAATTTAAGTTCATATTCACATGCTATGGTAGATAAGCCTAAAATGGTTAAGATAAGATTGATAAGCTTATGTAACGTTTGTGCGGGCAGGATACTCTCCAATGTTCTCTCTGTATCGGCGGACCGGGAGTATGGCACGTTCAGTTTTTGGGCTGGATTTTAAAGCGGACAGACTTACAGCTCCACTGGGAAAACCCTTTCGCTCTTCAGTCAAGGATGGAATGGGGTCCGATTCTTCAGTTCCCTGACTTCCAAGATAATGATTCACAGTTCATGTACGATTATGCTGCTCCCATTATGCAAATGCCAACTCCCCCGGTAAGGCAAATGCTTGCTCTTTTTTATCGGCATCTCAGACATGGGGTACTCGCAGAAAAGCGATGTTACTTCTGACAGCGTTGAGCGAGTCCTGATTTCGACTACATTCTCTGCTCATGCAAAATGGCACGCTCTTCCTCCTGACCTTGTGTTTGCGACGTCCGATTCCGTTCGGTTCTATGTCCACTCTCATATCGTCCTGGCCGCATCAGATAATCGATTCCACTCCTTAATTCCGATTCCTCCGATAGGTCAATCATCCAATCCCGAGATTCATGTCCCCGAGTCTTCTGAGGTGTTTAATATAATCCTTCATCTCATATACAACATACCTTCAAGCCAGTATTCTCCTTCGTTCGATACCGTATCCAAGGCCGCTGACTGACTTTCGTTCTACGGGATAAACGCAAAGGCACACATCAGTGCCAAAACACCCTTGCATAACCTCATTCTTTCCTTCGCGCCAATCTTACCCATTCGGGTCTACACCCTCGCCGCGAAGCATGATCTTCTCGACTTGGCAATCTCAGCTTCTCCTAACCTGCTCTCATTCAATCTCTCTACAATTGATCAGGAAATGGCAGAGGCTATGGGACCAATTTATCTTCGCAAGTTGTTTTTCCTTCATATTGGTCGTTCCGATGCTCTTAAAAGGGTGAGAGAGAAGCTCATAGTGTCGGTTCTGCCTTCGCTGATGTTTGAACAGCATTTACTGGAGCTACCCCATCCTCACGCTCCTACTGCTGAGTGTAGCTTCAACGATCAAAAATCCTTGACTCGTGCTTGGGCATTGGCTTCAGCCTATTTCGCTTGGGACGCTCGACCAGGTGTGTATTCAAGACTCGATTCGCTACCAACGAGCTCTCATCTCGGATCCTAAAGATATATCCATAGGGGCCTTGGAATCGTGTCTTAAACCTTTGGCCGATCATTTAACGTGCGACGAGTGTAAAGGAAGCTTGCAGGCCCACATCAAAAATCTCGTCATAAATTGGTCACAAGTGAAGGTATTGTGATATTTGACCACTTATAAGTTATATTAACTGGGGAAGATTGATCCATAGTCCCCGACAGAGCACCATTTGATCTTCAATATCTCCACCTATGCGTCGGTAGGCATTATTCAGGTCTCTGCGCAAACACGACAGCAACGATGAGACATGGGTGTGAGCCACGAACGCCGGGGTCTGTCAGGTGTAGCATTGCAGTCTTTCTTGTATTACTCTATATTTGACTTGAGCACTTTGTATATGTATCTATAGCTGACCAGTGTAAGGATGCGTTCATCGATTCCTCTTTGACCTAACCGCTTATACTTATTTCTGCTTCTCTTTTACATGAGATGTTAATACTGTCTAGCTTCGGAGCTTACAACTTCATTTCGAGCAGTTTCGAGCCCACTACCTTAGCCCATGTTATTCTTTGGAGGGAGTTCCATCACCGCTTCGACCAACGCTCGGCTCGGCTAGCTGCGGCTCGGCTACAACGGCTTTTGCCCAGTAGGCTCCGACGACTCGGCTTAGCTCGGCGGGACATGGGCTCTATGTCAGTAGTAATCGGCTTAGCGCGCCATGGCTCAAGCATATACCCACACTTCTAGACGCTTGAGAGTCATTTGGTTTTCTCTGCCCTGCTTGGCCTCAAGCCAAAACTGACCATCGGCGCATGAAGGCGGAGTACCCGTGAACCAGACCCACAACTCCCGGGCCCGAGCTGATCAGTAGTGTTTGTTCTTCTTCGCACTGTGATACCTTCTGATCCCATTGCAAAGTGAGCGAGGTTAATCTAATCTCGAACAGAAAGATGTTCAAGGAATTCATTTGGCCAAACAGTTCCCTCCTACTTCATGTTGGCTTAGCATTTAGTGAACAATGGCCGAAAAATACTAGGGGAATCCTTGTCATTAATATAGCAGAAAATGATGCAGCTTTCTTGAAAATCTATTGCATAACAAGTAACCCTTTTTTTGAGTGACAACAATTGCCATTCCTCCTGAGGATATCGATATGACTTGAGTCTTGAACATTCATTCCTTGTTCAAATTAGCATGGTATAAGATGGGATCTGTGAATTTGCAGTATTTTACCACTTGCAAGTGTGGACTGCTGCAATTAATTGTGCAGTAAATATGAACCCAGAAAAGTTGGATGATGCAAGTAGTGCATGTACTAATTTGCATGCACCTGGAGAATAAATTCAAATTCATTTGAGCTTCAGAGGCAAGTAATTATATCCACATAATGTTTATGTCAATTTCCAGGTCTTATTAGTATCTTCAAATCCCATAACTTTTTGTGGCTCCAACATTATTCTTCTTGACAATACCGTTCCAGCCCCCCTGCTTCTTTCTTTCCTTCTATTTCCCTACTTGAACCCTCTTCCAGCGAGTCAATACAATTGACCAATCAAATGGAGTGGAAGTAGTGTTTAACAAGCAATGAGAGCGGAGAGCGAACAGCGAGCAGACTGGCAACCTCATAATGGATGAATCGGATTTGGCTAAGTTGCGCTTCTTCGCCTACTTGACAGTATTTGATGGGACAGGGAAAAGAACAATGAGTACCATGAATAGAACCTATCTTGGAGGGCAAAGTCTGTGCGGATGACCTTGCTGAGAAGGATTCACATAGGTCCGAGCATCTCCGGCTTTGATGGGATCTTACAAGTTGGCTCAAGCTCAAGAAAGTTGAAAGAAGTTGACGAAAGAATTATTATTTCCATGAATTTGAAGTTGGTCAGCATTACTACAAGGACACCAAATGTTTCGTGATGTCAGAAGCTGCGGCTGCGCCATATCTAGCATATGACGTTCTCTATCGGGATGCCGGCATTAGTGGATGTCTTTCCTGTCTTTCCTGTCTTTCCTATCTTTCCTGTTGGGTATGAGGAACCCCAGCAGTATCTATACCTCTTTTCTTCTCTTCTCTTCTCTTCTTCTCTTCTCTTTTTC